GGGCCATAAAAATTGGTATAGTAAAAGATGTTTAAAACTGGATTTTGTTAGACCATTAGACTGTGTGTCAATCCAAGCCACAGGATTATAATTAACGTGCCTTTGAAAATGCCAGAGAAACAGCGCTTTAAATCACGGCTATGGGAACAATGCTGGATACAAACGCGTTATGGAAGCGTCATGTTATTCAAGATGGAAAGAAAGGTGTCAATAAGTAACTGACTATTAAATAGCTGGATTCAACCTCATGATAAACATATGAGTTTGTGTAAGAGGTTAAATTGCCGTCACACAACAGCCAGCAGGGTTTCCCAGTTTTTCAGTCAAGCTGTTTAAATGATGTATGAACAGCAATGTGGATCTAACAATATATGAAGCATTAGAAATAATATTTTCAAACATTAATTAAAAGTATTACAAAGTTGCCATTGTTTGGGCAGGAAAAAATATATGTGGGTTCTTTTTTAAATGTGGTGCAGGTGTGTTGAATATAAATGCATATACATGTAAGATGAGATATTGGTTAAAACACTTGATCACGCAAACAATATTTCATATAAACCAGACTTACTAGTTTTATTTTGTAAAAGTTACTTAACAGCATCCAAAGTAAATGCACAGTTTGTATTTACATGGTCCACTCACAAATCCCCAGTACACACTGCAATGTTGCTGAGGCTATTTGATATTATACATTTTATTATGCCATATATTTGTCACCGCAATTGTGCTTTAAAAGTCCCATGTCACCTCGTCCAGTGTAGACTGATTATGATGATTTTTATTTGCGTTGGACTCATTGCAATCATGCTCGGGATCTGTGAATGATCAAGTTGTGTATAATCCTGAGTTTATCCTCATGCGCTGATCCTGAAGGAAAAGAAGCCTTACACTCCAACAATCTTTTGGAAACAGGTTTTTTTAACCACAACCATTTTAACCATTACATGTTAGACAGGAACATGTATCAAAAGTAAATAGTCTTCATTTTGATTTTGTGTTTGAAGTTTGTGCTCTCCAGGAGGTTCCCAAATTATTTTAACATTGTATAGACTTATATTACTCAGCATCTGATTTAATATACAAATACCAAATATACCGTAACATCCACAGGCTTGTGTGCTATTTACAAAACATCTCATCTGTAATAGCGAGTAAACACAGCTCTCTGGGACTAATCTCTGTCCCTGATCCATCCTGGCTAGTATATCTCTTTACCATCACTGGTAAAAAATAGTACGATGACTGTAGTCAACAGTCTATTACAGCATTCACTCCCTTCACCTATCATGTCTTCAGCATAGACTGATTGCATTAGACTGTATTTATATTATATTATAAACACACACACACAGAGAAAGAGAGAGAGAGAGAGAGAGAGAGATTCTTATTTATACGCTAAGTAGAAATAGTCTTGCTTTTAGCATAAGCTTTGTTCATGGCTTTTATCTGTCTATTAGTCTAGGCAATGGATGTGAGGCCGTAGTTTTTCATGTAGAACCTTTTTTTTCTAGAATGCTCCTGTCTGTCTGCTAAAGCAAACTTCACAACTATTGCTATTGCTCACTTACAGGATTTGATTAAATACCAAACCTTAAATATTAAACCTTGGCATATAACTCATCCCACACATTTGAATGATATGCTGTAAAATGCTGTGGCTTGTTGAGGAGAGATGTGCTATTACTTCTCTAAGCAATTGGACATGTGATTTTGCAGACAAAAAATAAACCTGAAAATAAATAAATAAATAAATAAATGCTCTTATTGACGGAGGGACCTAAGCCATATCTAGGGACCAGAATGTCATAAAGACTTAAATATAGTCCCCCCCCCCCCTGAACCAACAAATAACCAAATAGAACATGTTGCAAACAGTAATGTGCTAAAACAAGAATACTTTAGCAAACGCATAGAAGCACCCTTGGCAATACCTTTGTGGCATCTCTCACATCTTGTTATGTATTTATTTATTTATTTATTTATTTATATATTTCAGAAATGTAAAAATCTAGTTATTGTCTTGCCACTATCAAACTCTGTTACAGATAATACATAAAACAAACAAAATTAAATGATACATTCAACCAAAAAAGAAAAAAAATCTACAATTTTACTCACCCTCATATTCTAATCAACCTTAATTCTTAAAGGGGTCATATGATGCGATTTCAAGTTTTCCTTTCTCTTTGGAGTGTTACAAGCTGATTGTGCATAGATAAGATCCCTGACGTTGCAAGGACTAAAGTCTCAAAACCAAAGAGATATTCTTTATCAAAAGAATTTGAAAAATAATGTGTTTTTTGAACATTAAAGCATGTCAACATATTCTGTTACACCAAATACACAAAATAATGATCTTTAAAAAAGCATCATATGACCCCTTTAACTCTTTTTATTCAATGTAACACAAAAGAAGAAATGTTTAAGTAATCGTCTAGCTCTTTTCCATTCCTTCACAATGGACATTCACTGAAGTATTCTAGGATGTAAAAAAAAGTTGTATCGTCTTTATCATAAAATACAGTAATTTTTATCATAAAGGTCTCCCAATTTACTTGTGCACTATATTCCAAGTCATGAGAGCTTTTGTGTGAACAGACTAAAATTTTTTTAAAGACATATTATTCACACCCACTCTAGCTTTCTTTGGTGCCTTCTTGAGAGTTCATGAGAGGAGATAGAAAAGTCAAATTTAGCAACAAATCGTTCTTTTGAGCAGAGGTGTCCACTGAGGAGGGCCACTGTCCTGTAGAGTTTAGCTCCAACACCTGAATCAGCGAACCAAGGTCTTATAGGCATACTAGAAACTTCCAGGCAGGTGTGCTGAGGCAAGATTGAGTTAAACTCTGCAGGACACCAATCCTCCAGGACCGAGTTTGGAGACCCCTGCTTTTGAGTCTGATCTTTGAATCATTTAAATTATTAATTTAAGAATTAGACTGATCCAGTTCTCTGGATTCAGCTTACTGACTCCCGATCACCGTGGTTTAACAGCTCACTGGAGAGGAAGTTTATCAGTGGACACATTTTGGTCTGTTCCTCACACAAAGCTCTCATATGGTTTCAGAAGACATTTTAGATGTTCGGACCACTTTTAAGATACGTTCATGGTGCTTAAAAGTTTTAGTTCCAGTTCATTGTAACTGCATGGAAAACAGCAACCCGTATTTGTCATTTAGTACCTCAAAGTGCCGAGAAAGGTTTGAATTAACCTGAAGATCAGGTTGTATGACTGAATAAAATTTTTTGGCTGAACTATTCCTTTTTTTCCACCTCTCTGTTAGTCCGGCCAATAAATCGGCTTCTCAGAATTTGATGTCCTCTCTTTTTTATTTCTCAATTTCTCCTTCAACATCACATGTTTTTAAAATGCCTTGTTCTGTCACAATCCCCCTCTCTCTCCTCCTTTCTCTGTGGCCGTTTCTCCTTCTCTGTTCTCCTCTTTCTTCAATTCTGTCTATTCTTTCCCCATCCCTCCTTCCTCTCTCTCTCTCAGCATGGCCGAACAGACTTTTCATGGGATGGAATCAATGTAAGTGTTGTGAATATCATTCTTCCATTCCTTTCCTTTTGTTATTTTCCTCTGAATCACAGTCTCCTATACCCCATTCCTTCTTTTGGTCGGTCTCTCTTTTGCGGTGACTTGTCGGTGTGCTCTAGTAGTTAGACTTTGTTGCAGATGTAAATGACAAAAGACTACACTTCCCATCATGCAAATGGACAGAAATTAAGAAGCAGGCTGTTGGGAAATGTAGTTCCACACGCTCTAAACCACTTTGCTAACTTTCTACTTAACTTCTTTCATCACCTCTTTCCATAAAATGCCACGCTCAAAATTTTGCATTTCATTTCTGCTCTGGGCCGTCTCCTGCTTCATCAAAACCATCTATTTCTTCATCTTTTCTATTTTCTGTCCCATTTTTCTCTCTTGAATGCCTTCCTTCATTTCAGTTGTCCATGGAGGACACAACCTCAATCCTCCCTCGGCTGAAGAAGCGGAACTCCGACGCCTATGGAATCGGCGCTCTGGCTAAGTCCTCTCTGACAGGTGTGTCAGGTGTGTGTCTGTCCTGTGAAATGGTAAACTGACCCCATGTTGACTCCAGACTGAGCTGGAGGAGATGGAGCCAACATGGACCCATGTGGGATTCCCTTTTCACCTCCCGTTTCCATTTACAACACTCTCCAATGGCTCATGCCATTGGTGAATTCCAAGATCCAAATAAGAATAGATCCCTGGAAAGAAAACGATATGCTTCCCACAATGCATTGTCATACGGCTTTTCATTTTTTCCTAAGTGGTGGTTGATGGGAGAGGCAGGTTTTTGTTTGTAAAGTGCTTGTGAAGTGCGGAGATCAGTCAGTGTGTTGTCTTGTAATATTGTTGTTTCTCAGACTCCTGTATCTGTGTTTTTGTAGTACTGTTGTGTGCAGTGAAGTATATCCTTCTCTGAAAGATCCTTTTCTTCAACTTTAATAGTTCATGTTCATCATCTCATTAGATCTTACCTAAGAGCTTGAGAGATCGCTGAATTATCTCTGTATGTTTGCACTAATGTACTGGTAAAAAAAAAAGGATATATAGATTCTGTCTAAATGGCAAAGAGCAACTGATTTTTTCTCAGTATCTTAAATAAAGGCTCCACACAGAATTTACTGGTTTTCAAACAGATCGTTACAGTCTGGCTTGAGTATATCACAAACATAGCTTCATTGAATTAGCGGAAACTAATAAAGAAAATGCAGGAGAAAGTGTAGGTCTACGTAGATCTTTATTAGTGTGGAAAGATAGCAATTCCAGCAAGACAAATTCCTATCCCTTGTCACTAAAACTTGATTATTTTTCCAGACCATAACCATCTACTCTAATTACTCTCCATCTCATTATGGAAGTCATTTTCATTTCCTTACCTCAAACTAAATTCTACACATACTTCTCACCAACAGAAACATTATAACATAGCACATGGAGAGGTTGCGTTGGCTGTATAAATTGTAAATATTAAAGGATAATTTAAAATTTGAAATTCTTTTCATCATTTTAACAGAAACTAATTTTATTAGAATCTTACCTCATTTTATAAGTGAGAATTGTAGGCCTGGAATTTTTTTTCTAGTTACGCCAAGCTCTAAAATATTTTATTGGGTAGAAATTGTCATTTAAAAAAATCGTTTAAAACGTTTTTACCCTTAATCGTTATCCAGTAAATCACAAGACTGGAAAATTCATGTAAATTCATGCACTCTCGTTAAAAAAAAAAAAACGTATTTCCTGAAGTTGAAAGAGTAGCATCAAAGTGACCTTTTTTTTTTTTTTTTTTTTTTTTTTTTAGTACATTAAAATAAACTGACAGCTACACTCACAAGCTATTCTGCATAAAGATGTAGCATAATTGGTTACTTTTTGCTTCATTATGTAAAACAATTATGTAATTTTTAATTATTGAAAATATTAATTTTGGTTATATCACGGTGATATGGCATACTTTCATATGAGGCGGACAAAGTACTCAACTCCATTACTTGAGTGAAAGTACAGATACTGCTGGTCAAGCATTACTCCATTACAAGTAAAAGTTGTAAAGACAGATTTTTACTTAAGTAAAAGTACAAAAGTACTTGCTTTTAAAAGTACTTAAGTACCAAAAGTAAATTTCCTTTGTCAATGCACTGTTTTATTGTTGTACGTAGTAGTACTTGCATTACTTCTGAAGCAACTTAGAATACATTACACCTGCTGAATACACTGACTAGCTTGTAGTATATTTTGAATAAAGAGCTTTTAGAATGTTAAAAACCTATCAGGAAAAAAAAAAAAAAAAAAAA